ATGTTTTTGCAAATGCCAAAAGCCTGATTCATGAATGGGGGCTCAGATAAGTGTGCTTGCATACTCTCACTCTTCATTCTTTATTACAGCTGTCTATATTGTTTTGTTAAAAGTCAAATGCTGTTTATTGTAGGGCTTAGTTTGAACATAATACACATATTTATCAGCTAATTTCCTTTAGGGATGCAGAACGAAACAAAATCTGTGACTAAAAGTCAGGGCTACGAATGTTTCCTATTGTTTGCAGAGGTGGATGGAGAGTTCATTCGGGCTTTTAACATTGATAATAATAAGTAAGATATGTTTCTTGAGCAGTAAATCAGCATATTAGAATGATTTCTGAATGATCATGTGACGCTGATGACTGGAGTAATGATGCTGAAAATTCAGCTTTGACAAAATAGATTTTAAAATATATTAAAATAGAAAACAGTTATTTTAAATTGTAGTAATATTTCACAATATTACTGTTTTTGCTGTATTTATGGTTAAATAAATGCAGCCATGCTGAGGATTTTGAGTTTTAAATCAAAAATCGATCAAATAGTGAGTCAAACAGTGAAATCTTTCCATTAGTAGTTGAATTTGTGTCTCTTCTACTCATCTAAATGGCAACACATCATTCTACACTTTCAACACGGCCTCAAAGTCCCAGACAAACCCAAAAGCATGTTCTGTGATCTTCGCTAAGTGCTACAATTAAGCTACATTTATGGTGAAAATATGTGCTGACAGCCTGGTTTAGTGTTGCAGTTAGTGGCTTGTGAACATTGAGGCAGATGGTCACTGCAAACTTAAAGCATTCTGCAAGTTTCATACCTTAGAAACACCAGGATTTGAAAAGGTTTGAGGTGTTTTGTAGTTGTTGTTTTTTTGAGGATTTTTATTTCAAGAAGTTCCAACATTGTTCTGTCCCTGGATGGTGACAAAATGCACCTCCAAAAACTCTGCATACCCCTCCAAATAAACTGATAAACTGATTTGAAATATACGTTTATTTTTAATGACATGCCTAAGCAATTGAAGGAGAATGTTTTTGTTTGTTTGCCTCATTTCACAACTGACTCTTTTCTTCATTATTCTCAATTTGCCTGCTGTTTTTTCTAAATATCAAAAATATAGCAGCCTGACAACAAGATACAATAGTAGTTTTAGAACTATATACAGATAATAGATTTGAACAAGGGAGTGCAGTTACCTCGCTAAAACAGTCTGTTGCAATCGCTGTGGTTGTGTTGGTTCATTTTCTTCTGCTTCTGGCTCAAACATATACGGCTGTACGGCATTCACCATGTAGCATCAAAACACTTCACACATGCTGTGCATGGATACGGTGCAATGAAGTTCGCCAATCACAGAAGTGGCTGTGTACTTGCGTTTCTCAAAGAGGTAACACCCCACTTTTTTAGTCCAAAACATACTAACTACATAAGCTTACCCCTATGATATCAAGATCGGAAAATGCATGACCCCTTTAAACCCACACTGAATGTCTCAGCTCATCCACAGCACCAGCCATTAGTGGTGAGGATTGCCTGTGTGCCTCTCAGCTGAAATAGAGAGTATTAAGAGTCGACATTATCCTCTCAGAGGAAGAAAGAGTAGGATAAGGCTTGGACAGACTTGGGCACTCTCTCAGCAGATGAGTCAGCTGGGTACGCTGTGCTGTGTACCATGTTGGTGAGGAGTGACAGCCCTCTTCTGAGAGTGTGCGCTTAACGAAGCCCAGCTGTCAGATGTTCCTCTTTTGCCCTAAACTGAGTTGAACAGGTAGGCCAGATGCCATGCTTCACCACTTGGATACGAATCAGAGGACTGTCGCACATGCAAATCATACACAGAGTGCTCTCTTGGCAGAGAGAAATAAGTGCAAATAAGTTGCTCCTGCTGAAGGACGGACCACCTAGACAGAAACTTAAATCTTGAGCCATTAGAAATGTGTAAAGAAATACACATGAGAGATTCCTTAGTCTGGGGATTTCCATGTAATGGTTTTGGATTTCTTAGTTTTAACCTTCACTGAAAAACCCAACATGGTTTACTGTTTATGATTTATTGGGTCATCACAGAAGTGCAGATATTCATATTTTTATATTCATACTTCAGGGTCATTCTGTGTTAACTCAACCAGAGGTTGTTTTTCAAACACTGAAAATTGGTAAAATTCAGCAAATTGGACATTGAGTCACATTGGGCTCCCCATATGTCTGGGACGGAACCGCATACATTAGGACCTTGAAAATGAAGATTCCAAAAGAAAAGTTTTATTAAAAACCAGAATCTAAAATTATATTCAGATATCTTTAATACTTCTTGAGTTACAATCATGCAAACTTAAAAAAAAAAGAATATTTATATGGCATTCAGACAGGTATGTTATATGCAGATGTTTTGATAGAGGAAAACAAGATATATTTCGAGTTTTAACATTATTTGTTCTTCAGACCTTCCTCTTTAAAAGAAAAAAAGTATCAGCTGAATGCAAAGTGACCCACATTTGGTTTTTGACCACTGAAAATGTGTATAATTTAACGATTTACTCCTGGATCCATATTGCGATTGCAATATCTCTGGAACGGAACTTTATAGGGCTTTAAAAATGAAGATGCCAAAAGGAAGGTTTGTTAAGACCCAAAATCTAAAAGGGCATTAAGGTATCTTTAATACTTCTTGAGTTACAGACAAGCAAACTTTGGAGAAAAAACTTGAAAAGTGCTTTGCCCCCCCTTCTTTCAATGATCACCACTGGAATATATATTGCAACAAAGATTGCTAAAGTCAACAGATTTTACTAAGAGGCTTACCAATCTCTGTGTAAAAGTAATATAATGTTGCTGCAATCTTTCTAAAGTCTTTTTTACGCCCCTGTAGTTTGGCTCCGAATCTCAGGTGAAATTTTTCATTTTGACTACCCTCTACAAAATAGTGGATTACTCAGTGAATATTCATCCATGACATTTAATATTTTGGCTTTCATCACCATACATGCAGGGCTACAAAGTTTCACTTGAATAAACTGCAACGACTACAGCCAATGGCCAACTAGCACATTCTGCGGCTGAAGAAGAGGTGAGAGGAACTGTATATATCAGCAGGTGTCGTTATGAAAACCAACGGTGGGGAGCACACTGAAAACTGTGCTGACAGACACTCATTGACGGCCTAACATTCACAGATGACTGTCCGTTGACTTTGTGTGTCACGGCCTTTAGTCTGACTTAAAACTTAAAACGAATCTGTTCGTATATTTTAGCAGTAAATCACATGATTTTGTCACATGATAAATTTCCCATTGGCTATTGGCTCTGATTGTGACTGAGCATTTGTGAATCTTGACCTTTTGACCATTTGAGTCCTTCAGTCGCCTTTGTTGCTAAAATTTGTCTCGCTGATTCTTTTCTTAAGAGTCATACCAGGCAGTTTATTTCCATACTTGAAACGCTCAGATGAAAAGGAAGCCATTGTTTCACTCATGCCATTGGTTATAACGTCATGTGTTTGATTTGGAATGGCACTTTTTTTGTAAGTGGTTTGCTCTTGTGCAGAATGTACCCATGACCATTGATTGGTCAAGGATTTTTTGTATGAATCATTTGCCATTTTACTGGATTTAAAAATACAGTTTACAGTATTTCGATTTCTCAGGCCCTGCTACCAAACTTTAGTGTGTCAGCTGTTTAAAAGATTCACAGATGTTTCCAGAAAGATTGGCTTTTAAAACGGAATGACGAACTTATCTGCTATTTACCATTTTAAATATTAAAAAATGCTGATTGAACAGTATCTTGTTTGCAAACTTTGTCTAATAATCTTTATCTGAACATTACAATCACTGATATGTTTTTGTAAATCCTGCTGTATGGCTTCCCATCTTCATTAGCATTCCGTCAGAAGCTTTTCTTGTTAACTCAATACAGTTGACACCATTGAAATCAAGGGAATATTTTAGTGGAAGGAGGAGTTCATTTTGAACCTCATCAAACAGATCTGGGTTAGGTCTGGGACATGACAGGAATAGTGTACACCAGCGATTGTGTAAGTGTGGGTCATAACTGGCAAAGCATATTCATTACAGAGCAGATTTTGGCACACTATAATGAGCCATTGCTGTGATAATGAACTTTCATCAAATGTTTTTTGTTTTAATAATGGAACAGACTGAGTTTCCCTTTTCCTTCTTTTACTTTGCTATGGCAACCTCTCTAGATCTTAAAATAGAGTAAATGGCTTGTGGTAAAATGCCTAAAACAAAATGCTGAACATCTTCATGCCTGTAGAGAGAATTTTTTTCCTGGAATGTGCCACTATCTGCAAGAAGAAACACTGATATTTTATTATTTTTCTTTTAAAGTGCTGTTATAATAAATGACATAACTTGAAATGTGGTCCACCTCAGTCAGTCACAATCCAGCGCTCATCCAAAACCTTTTTGAAACAGCTCTGTTGTTTTAGGAGGGCAAACTTTACAGAATAAAGACTAAAGTAAGATCCTAAGGTCCTATGCAAAACAAAAAGTTGTGTTTTACTTATAAAAACAAACATGAAAATATATCTAATATTGTGTATTGCTCAATGTTTAATTTTATGTTTTAATTAATTAATTTATTTTACACATAAGAATAGCCGTGGGTGCTGATGATGAATGTTAGCTGATAAAATGAATGTTTGCTGACTGTTAGAACACTCAGCACTGCATTCAGCTGTTCTAAATAAATGCACAAAAAAACACAAAAACTGGGCATAATGTTGCCTTTAGGCAAAACCACTATCCAGATCATAAAATGTCATAAAGCTTCCTTTTTTTGGCTACGAGCATAGAGATAATCTAATCAAAATCAATGGTCTTCAGTCGAAAATGTTGGTTCTTTCATCTCAAGGCTTCATTTGAAGCCACAGTTCTTAAAACTAACTGGTCCTATTATTTATTAAATCATGCCATAAGAGAACAAGGACTTTCTCTGATGGTGCGTTTGACCTTTATTCTTCTTGTCTTTCCTCAGTTGTCAGGAGCAGTTGTGCTCTGTTGGAAAGAGCAGTAGAAGATCCAGCACATCCAAATCCTCTCGACTCCACTCCAGAACGTAAAACACTGATTATTTATTTGTTCCCTTTTCCTTCAGCAGTTTGTTTTGCAGTTGTTTTCTTCTCCTAAATGGAGTTTGTCATTGCAAGTCACCACATTGAACAGAGAAGAAATATTGATCTGGTTAAGTATTCCACCCAGGGCACTTCCCGTTGGGATGTTTCAGTTGAATGTCAGAGGGGCTTTGTGGTTTCCCTCATTGCGGTCTCTCTTCATCAATAGCGTTACATGATTCCAAAGACAACTTTTCTGTGTTTTTCCATTGGAATGCCTGATGGCAAACAGAAAACCCTCAAGATATTCCTTCTCTTGTCCAAACTGACATACCCTTGTCTTGAGTATTTAATTTTATTATAAAGTTTAGCATTTTTGGATGTACTTTAGAGGAATAGGGAGTAAAAAACAGTTTAATTACATTTCTCCTGAGGCCATTTCAGTGTGATCTTACCACAGAATCCAATATCTTTCTGAATCTGTTTACAAACAAATTTGCTTTTTTCTTAATTACTGACATATAATATTTGAAAGGGTAGTTTTAGGGAATTCAATGTACAACACACACACAAACACACACACACACACACACACACACACACACATAGACACACACACACACACACACACACACTGCGCGCAGTGATAACCTCGTCCTGACAGCACCTGTATCAAATGTGTGACAAACACACACATGCACACACACATACACACATACACACACACACACACACACACGTGTGTATATACATGCACATTATAGTACACTACAATACTTATTTTATTCAGCAAGGATACATTTAATTGGCCTAAAGTAACAGTAAACATTCATTTAACATTAATAATGCAACTATCTAACTTAAAGCTGCAGTCCGTAACTTTTTTTGGTTAAAAATGATCCAAAATCAATATGTGACCCTGGACCACAAAAGTCGCTGGGGTATATTTGCAGCAATAGCCAAAAATACATTGTATGGGTCAAAATTATTGATTTTTCTTTTATGCCAAAAATCATTAGGATATTAAGTAAAGATCATGTTCCATGAAGATATTTTGTACATTTCCTACCGTAAATATATCAAAACTTAATTTTTGATTAGTAATATGCATTGCTAAGAACTTCATTTGCACAACACTGACTGCCACACATACTCCTCGGAACATTAGATTCATCCGTGCTGGAGCCGTGCCACCGCACAACCCACGCAAGCTAGATAATTCCGCACACAGCTGCAATTCCAGGTTTTC